ACCACTATCCTGGAGCACCCCATGCCAAGCACCTGCAGAGGGGTGCTGGTAACACCAGCTTCCTCCCCACAGTTCGTGTAGGTAACCCTGACCTCTGGCTCATAACGTGAGTGGTAGGGCTGCACGTCCTTGCGCATTTTCAGGTGCCCAACACTGATGCAGCAGGGCCCTCTTGGAGCCGCACCGGCTCGTAGCACGAGCTTGTGTCTTCCGCCTGTGGTGTTTCCACAGGCCGCTAAGGGCTGGCTTCTCCTTGGGGTTCTTCCTTGATCCCTGTAGCTTCCTGCTCCTTTTCTTCCGTGCTGCTGGTTTTCGCCGGTGGTTCCATATCCTGGTCATCACCAGGTACTGGAATGCCTGGTGGTGGCGCCTTTGCCTTTGCAACACTGGGCACGCTACCTGTTTCCGATTTTGTCTCCTGGTTACCACCAGGAGACTTGCTTGGCTCAGGCTGCTGCCCTTCGGAGCTGCTGCTACTGGATTCACCAGAGGATGAGCTGGGGGCTTTTGCCTCATCCTGTGGTCCTGCCTTGGGCTCCGCTGTCTTGGGTGCCTCCTTGACAGGCTCCCCCATCTCCTGGTCATCACCAGGACTGGGAGCTGCTCTGCCCTGCTGGCGCTCCTTAGCAGCTGCCCTAACAGTCGCCACAAACTGTTCTTTCTTGCTGGGCGCCGGAGGTTCCGGCGAGTCTTCTTCTCCCGTGTAGTACGAGTACTCCTCCACCTCTGTCCTGGGCTTGGCTGCTGCCCTGGTTTCCTCCGGAGGCTGTTGCTCCACCAGGGACCTCTTTCTGGCAGGCGGTGGGGGAGGCGTTGACTTGCCTGCCCCTTTGCCCTGGTGATAAGGGTCCTTTCCTTTTGTTTTTCCTTTTGGCTTGCCTTTCTTGCCAGGACCTGGGTCCTTGTCCTTGCCTTTGCGCTTGCCCAATCCTTTCTCTCGAAGCACTGCCTCCGGGATTGGGAGGTTTCTCGTCACCGCTCCTTGGGCTCTTTCACGCTTCCCCGCTCTGTTTTTGTTGTACCACTTTTTTGTAATCCGAAAGCTCACGTCGAGCAGGGGTATTACCTGGATGAGCACCAGGACGTTCTGCAGAGCCACTGGCCGGCTCCACTGGTCTTTCACCAGCTTGGTCTCTGCCCTGGTTTGCACCAGGGTCTTCAGTGGAGCCCCTGGCCGGCTCCGCTGGCCTATCACAAGCTTGGCTGTTTCCCTGGTCCCCACCAGGGTTTGGGCCTTCCATGGCTCAGCACCCAGCACCCACGGAGGATGACACCTTCGCTGCTGAGCCGAAAGTGCAGCTAGAACTGGTTTGCAGCCACCGGTTCAAAACTTGAGTTTTGTTTGCTTTCCATCGTCTTTGGTTCGGGCCTTTGCTTTGGCTTTGGGTTTAGCTTTGGGGCCTACTAAGTTCAGGTCCGCAACACTGAGCCTTTGCGGTTTAACAGTCCCTCCAGGGTCCGCTTTTGTAGTAGCAGGGTTCTCAGGCCTTTCACTAGTTTCACCAGCACCTCTAGCCTCAGGAGCCCCCAAACATTGGGCCACACCCTGGTTTGAGACACTAAGGGCAGGGTAGTCAGGGAAGGCCTTGGGCTGGTCACAGGCTTCTGGAAGATCCCAGTTTTCGGCACCACTTTCTGGATAACATCACGAACCCAGGGGTCTTTGCCCTGGTATCTTTGCCTGCACTCCTTGCTGAAACCTTCACACAGCTTGTCCTGAGCAACCCACTGTTTAACCCCACACCTGGTACACAACCAGGCCTTGCCTGCATTCACAATTTTGTGAGTAGCATGGGCTTCCATATCAAAACTCGTGCCCTGAAACAGACAATGGTGGCTGAACTTCTTGTCAAAAACAGGGAGCGACTCCGTCTGTTGCACATAAAGCCCACATGTGCTGCATTTGATCGTTAACTGGTCTCTGGACTGGTGTCCTATCACCCAGTTATGCCCCAACGATGGCCTTTCACCATCAAGCATGGCCTCCATCTGTTGCCTTTTGTTAAGCTTACCCGCGCTGGGTGGGGACACCCGGGTTTTGGGTTTGCGCTGTTTTTGGGCAGTAAACAGCTTCACCTGCCTGGGCCTTTTGCGACGCTGCTTCTGCACAGGCCTATTGTCTTCCTTGGAATCAGGAAAAACAATCTGGGGGCCATCAAGCCGATCATGTTGAAACATCGCCGCCGTTCTCTGTGCCAACAGAGAGTTTACCCTGATGACCACCTCATCCTTAATAAGGACTGACTGTTCCCAGGCCAAGTCTCTTTTCTCATTGGCTCGGTTTTGCACCAGCCTGTCAACTTCATCATTAGCTTTCCACCTCCAAAGGGAGTCTGCCCCAAATTTGTCAGTGTACTCCTGCTCCGTGAGGTGGCTGTTGATCCAGGTAAGGGTGAGCCTATCCATCTCCGCCCTCACCGGCTGAAGCAAGTCCTCAGACTTCCAACGTGCCGGCCTCTCAGCTAGCTGCTTCACCCCTTTAGCATCCAGGGTAACCTCAATGCTTCCCTGGACTTTGGTCACCAGGTATTGGATCGCCTGTGCTTCAGCTCGAAACACGGATTGTTCACAGGTACAGGCCCTGTGGCTGTCCCAACTACCTGTATCTGGGCACCCCAGATTTGAAAAGCCACCGCCACAACTCCCCAGGTAACAACCTGGAATCTTGGATCCTGGGATCCCCCAGGGCTACCATCAGTAGCAAAATGGAGATTCTCTCCATCGACCACCTGCTGCCTGCAAACCCCAGTCTCCTGAAGGACCTGGGTGTACCCCAGTGGCTTGTCCTGTGCTGCAGGGAGGCCTCGCAACCAAAGGCTCTCATCCTGGTACTGCTGCCTGAGCCTGGGGAAGTCTTCCGGCTCTTGCTGGTTTTGGGCCCACCAGCTGCAGTCCCATAGCACATGCCTCAGTGTAGCTTCCTGGTTGCAACGGCTACACCAGGAACCCATGTTTTTCTGCAGACCTTTAACCTGCTTAAGGGCCTTACGTGGGGCCTTCCAATCCACTCCTTTTTCCAGCGTATGGCCATCTTCACTCTGCGAAATGGCCTTCCATCTCCATCCGTCACAGGTTTTCTTGAGGTGGTAGCTAAGCCCATGAAGGCTGGCTCTGTCCAAGAGGTCAAAGTCCAAACCACATCCCTTCCAGCGCGTGAGAGACGTGGCCGTCCATCCAAGGGCCTTTAAGTAGCACGCAGCCGCTCCAAAAGGACCAACCACTATTCGCCACGGTTCTTTGTGGCGAATAATGCGGTTGTACCAGTGCTGCCATGCCTCCTCCAGCTCAGCAAAGCCGTCCTGGTTCCACTTCACCAGGAGCTTATGAAGAAAACGGAAGTGCTGGTTGATAATGGTAAAGCTGGGGTCCTCCTGCTTGGCCATGCCAATCTCCAAAACAAACTCAGTGGAGCCCAGACTCATGCGGCCCATCACCTGGGCTTGCTGGTGTCTGATCCAATTTAATCTCTTAGGCGACAATCCTACCGCAACATGCCCATAGAGCGCTACGCTAAGGACACCTTGCTGAAAGGCCTTCACCTTTGGCATCTTTCCCGGCGCCAACTGGTCAAGCCTTTTCTTTCTGCCACCCCCTTTGTGGAAGCGAGCCCTGTGGGTTGTGACACGACGTCTTTTGCCCCACCCCGAGTCAATGCCAAGATCTCTGTGGATGTCGCGTATGGTGGGATCTCCTTCAAGGAGCAGGTTTCTCAGGGCTTTTTCCACCTTTTTGTTGCTGCAAATCCACGCTGTCTTGCCAATGCTCAGAGGGAGCTGGGCCTCCTTCAGCCGCCTTTTAGCCTCCTGCCAAACTTTAAAGGCCTGCTGCGCACATTGTTTTGGATCGTCATGCACCACGTCAAAGCCCGTGTCATCAATGTACAGATCAACATGACACCGTGGCGGCCCTCTCCAAATGGGCTCCACCACATCATGCATCACCAACTTACTCAGCCCAGGGGCCAGCGGGCACCCTGCCAGTATGCCCTGGGTAGCCACCAGGGGTGCACTAACCATGTTCTCAGCACACAAGTGTCGTTTGCCCCGATACAGCTGCATGGCACCATGAAGCAGCAAAACCGGGTACTTATGTTTAAATGCACTCTTGATCAAGGCCTTATGAGAAACATTCTCATAGAAACCCCGCAAATCCAGTAGCAGCGTGACTCCAGACTTGCGGCTGTGCCTGTGCACTTCGCCTTTGATCACTCTTGTCACAGCAACCTCAAGGGATGAGTGATTTTTTAACTGCCCTATCCCAGGGAGCAGACACCTGGTACTGACGAGCCCACTTGTCATGCAACGGGTACCTGGTTCTGCACCAGGCCCGATACGCATAAGACGTGAGCGCAATCGGCCGTTCCTCTGTTTCTTTCTTAGGAATCAAGGCCACCAGGGACATTGTCACCGCCTCCGGCATGATGCCTGTTTCTTCCCATTTTCGAAAAGCTTCGGCCACCAAAGAGACCTGGTTCGGTTCTAGGCTGCGCAGCATTTGACTAGTGAGCCCATCAGGGCCACACGCTTTCTTGGCCATTTTCTTCAGAACAGCCGCAACCTGCGTGTCAGTGATGGGTCCTACCTCCAACAACTCTTCTGAGGCCTGTTTCCGGAGCTGGTCAAAAAGCTGGTGCTCCTCAGGGGAGTTGTCTGAAGTGGGCTTCCAGACCTGTTTCCATTCCTGCCGCCTAAGGTGCGGTCTGAGCTCACCACTGTGCTGCCTGCAAGGCCTGACCTGAACATTCTCAGGCATCTTGATAGACTTGTAGAGGCCACGCATGCCTCCCTCACACGCACCAGTAAGCCATTTCTGGTAACCTTCCTGCTTGGCCGTTCTCCATTCACTGGCTGCCTGTTTTGCCTTTTCAATCACCTGGTTGACCAAGGTCATATCCGTGGAGTGACCTATGACAAAGGCCTCCAGATCACGCTGGAGATCCCCAGCTTTGGAAAGTTCCTCCGGTTCCAACATTTGCTGGATATGCTTAACCTGGTGCAGGAAGAGTCGGAGCTGGGTCGGCTTCAAAGGTCTATCCTTCCTTTGCTGGATCCAGAGCTGGATTCTTTCCCAGAAAGCCACCTTACCACCTCTCCATGGCTTGTCTGGTGAAGCTGGTGACACCAGCGGCTGTCTTTTGACTGGGAAACACCAGCCCCTGCCTTGAGGCCCAAGTTGGAGTTCATTCTCCAGTGCAGCCATGACTTTGCCCCAGTGCACATCAACTTCTTTTGTGCTAGGTTTCTCAAACATGGCAATGACCTCTTGCACCTTGGGCCCTTCAACCTCTACCTGTGCAGCACCCTGTTCACCCCCAAACTTAGTAGGGGCGGAACTGGGACGCTGACTCCAGTTTTGTGAATGGTGTACTTCAGCGCCGCGTGTGGCTTGAAAGGCACATTCCAATCAACAGTCACTTGAGTACAGGCCGCAAGCTCCGCACAGACAACGCCAAAATCAATAGCGGAACCCTGTGCGGTTGTAGCTTCCAGGGGTGCAACCAGGCTTCCATGGCACGCCTGCAGAAAGCCCGAGGATGACAACTCATCATGAGTGCAATTCCAATCACCCATCGCGATCCAAGGCATGCGAAGCTCCTGCAGAAGGACCAAGAGCTCAGCAAGGATCTTAGGATTCACACCCCCGCCTGGCCCAGGGCCAGACTCAAGATAAAGGTTGCCTACCGCCAAATCCCATCCATTGAAGCGGATGCCAACGAAAAGGAAGCCTTTGCCTTGTTCACCATGCCAGCGTCACCAACCCACCAGATGTTCCACCAGCAACTGGTTCAGCCTGCAAGGCCCAAGGCTCTAGCGCAACCACCCTCCTCAGGGACGATGTCATAGCATCCACCGATGCCTCAGCTTGGTGGGTTTCCTGAAGGCAGGCAAGCTGCCACTGGTTACTCACCAGCCACTGTCTGATCTCAGATCTGTAGCTGGTAACGTTGGCTTGCAGGATGTGGCACATTGCCTCCTTAACCTGAGGCTTATATGCTGCATTTTGAGGTCCTCAATTGCAGCAAGGATCCCAATCGAATCTTCTTCCTCAGATTCCAAGCACTCTGGGATACGGTTAGCCACCCAGTACTCCAAGGTGCCTGGGAGCAGAAAAGCCTCAAACCTCTCAATCCACTCTAGCACTGAACCTTCCTTGGCCTTGAAGCAAAACTGAGGCTCCTGCACTAGCAAATCCGAGAGCTTTTTCCGGATTCCTTTGGGTGTACTGGATGTCACCAGTTTGGCTGGTACGTTGTGAAAAGGTTTGTTCTTTTCCTGGGTCTTCCTCCAGGCTCTTGTGGGGTTGGCTATGCTGGTTTACACCAGCTACCCGAGAAACCCTTTGCTCCTGGGAGACCCTGCTTCACTTAAAGCCGGCCAAACTCGGGCCACTGGCCCTTGCACTCCTGAACTCCCCAATTGGTCATCGAGCTGCTCAAAAACCAAGGTTTCAAATGCCTTGCAACAACAGCCCCACGGTTTCTGCCTTAGGCTGTAAGCTGCACCAGCATACCTGGTTAAAATAGCCGATTGCACCAGGGGCTGAATCCTGGTTACAACACACTTCTCCGCCACCCACAATGCATCCTTCCACTTTTCCGTAATGAGCACCAGCTGGCCAGGTTCTGTTTGACACAAGTTACACACCTGCGCTGGTTCTCCTGACCCCTGCTCATTAAAACCCAAAACTTCCTGCTCTAGTCCATAGGACCCTCGCAGGTTGCACTTCTGGTTCCCAAAACTGCTTTCCTTTGCGCAACTCTTTCCAAAACCCTGGATTCTAACCAGGAAACCTTGCAAGCTACGCTTCCTCCTTTCAAAACTGGGCCCTGGGTTGTCACCAGGGTGAAAAGGACCTAAACCCCAAGGGTTACACCAGGGCCTCGCAACCCTTTGTTGAGGTCCCCACCCTGTGCCCTAGGAGTCCGCTTGCTCTCCTCTGGACAAGGGATTGCTGCGCTGGGCTGTCCTTGGCGCTCTGCTGGGGCCAAAGCCTTCCCGATCCTTCTCGGCCCCCCTCTCACTAGCGCTGAACATGTCTGGAGGCAGGGTTTCACCCATCCAGCCACCACCCAGATCCAGCAGTTCCTCCTCATCCATCCCGGAGTGCTTCATCGTTTGGATGTACGCCGAAAGGGCCACGTTGTCAGAGTAACACCAGCATTCTTCAGCAGTCCTTGCAAATCCTGAACTTGGGGCGGCTCTGCCTCCTTAAGCTGGGCCTGGACCTGGGTCTGCACCTTCACCAGGTGCCCTTCTGCCTGTTCAATGTCCTTTGACACATCAGCCAGATCCTGAACCGCCTTCTCAAACTGAGCTTTGATCTTATCCGCCCGGGTCTGCAACTGGGCCTTCTTGGCCACCAAGCTTCGATGCTGCTGAGTGATCGACTTGTACCGAGCAAGGTATCGATGCAGCACCGTTCTTGGGTCCGGCTCCTCATCATTCGGGGTTCGATTCCACAGGCCCTCAAGACCTGCTGGGCTTGGGGATCCGCGTCCTTCCACAAGCTGGCCACTGCATCTTCATATTCACCAGGCGTAAGCTGGGATGCACCCCAACCTAATCCTGGAGGCCAGGCCGGCTGCTTTCTGGGTCTGCGCACCTCCTGCTCCCAAGCCTGCTCTTCCCATTTCTGCCAATCTGCCTGCGTGTTGTACACCCGCCTTTGCTTGTTAGCTGGGTTAGGGGGGGTTGCATAGCACAGCATAGCACAGCATAGCACGGCATAGCACGGCATAGCACCCAGGTCGGTTTCACCCAGGAGCAAGTTTCGTCGTCGATCGGCCGATTGCACATAAGGGTTATATCTCTAGGGGGTGGCACTACTATGTGTATCCTAGGCATAGGCCGGGGTTGGTGGCATACACTAGACTTTACGGTCAAAAGGGTGCAAGATGCAATCGGTCGTAGCAGTCGTGCCTTTTGCTTGGAAACATCGCTCCACAGTTCCAGCAGCATGGATACCAGTGCTTTTCCTCCTTCCAAACCCAGCCTACTGTGCAATGCTGGCATACGCTATAGGGCTGTCTTCCCATCTTGATCACCAGGAGCGCACACGCTCCCTGGTAACACCAGGTATCACCCAGGCTGGTACCACGAAGCCACTGGATAAACCAGTGTGCTGGTACCACCAGCAGAAGTGTCACCTAGCCTTGCAGGCTGGTTGCAGCTATGGCCAAAGTTCGAAAAGCTGGGGTTTTCCTGTTTGGGTGCTTGTAGCACACAGTTAGGACCTGAACCCCAGGGCCCGTTGGACACTGCAACTCTTTGAACCAGAGTGCCTTGAGCCAACCACCATACAAGATTCCTTTCCTTTCCTTTCCTGGG